GGGCAGGCAGGGGTGCAGGGGTCCGTGGAGCCCGATCCATCCCCCCACCCGAGTGCCCCCCCAGCCGTGGGGGGAGCCAGGCCCAACACACGCGGGGCAGCCCTGCCCTGCCAGCAGCCTCAGCCCCACACTGAGCCCCCCAGGGCCTCCCGTGGTGTGGGGTGCCCACGCTGTGGGTCAGATGCTCCTTTCCATGAGGTCCCGGGGGTGTTGATGGTGTCTGGTCCTCGGTCCGCTCCCTCCAGCGCTGACACCCCGAACCTCTCCACATGGTTCCTCCCCACAGACGTGATCCCGGAGATCCCAGCACGGGGTGGGGGGATCCCTCCTGCTTCCTCTGGGTTATTGTTCATGATGTTCCAGATAAATCACAGTTTCTCACTTAAAATGAGCAGTTTCAAACAAGCTCAAGGTAGTTCTTGTGTCCAGAAACGGAGAGGTTAAAAAGCTGGTTCTTGTTGCTTCCAGAGCCCCCCGTTTTTCCCGTTGAGGGATGCGAGTTCCTGCCGTGTCAAATGGCCACAGAATCAACTGGGAAACGCCAGCACTGGGCATCCAAAGCAACACAGGAACTGGGAATATAAACACGGGAACACCTTGCAGCAGCGCGCCAGGGGGGTCACAACCCGCTTCACCCTTGCCTGGTGGCTCTGTTGGCTGTGGCGCTGGGGAAGGTCAATCCTGGCTTCACCAACACGTTGTGGCCTGGCACAGGAGGAGGCAACAGGCTGGAAGAAATCCTCCTTCCCGTGTGTTGGAGGCACCAGATCCTGCCCTTGTGGGCAGCACTGGGGGCTCAACGGCTGCTTTTCCTCCCCAGCTGCTCCTGTCCGTGGTGCCCACATTGTTGGGGTTCATCAGCAGAGCCTCTTCTTCATCCACCGTCAGGTTGGTCAACAGCAAAGAGATGGTCCTGTGGGGAAGCGGGTGGTGTGTTGGTCCCCATCCCTCACGCAATGCCAGCATTCCGGTAGTGGGATTCATGGCTGGGTGCAGAGGAGGAGCTGATGTTGGACCGAGAGGGTCCTGCCTCTGCTCCGAGCCTGCCCTAACCCTCACTGAGTGATATCCAAGAGGTTTTATCCCGCCAATCCTCTGGCCGTGCCAGCTGGTTTTCTTGCTCCCGGGCTGCTTCTGCTTGGAGTCAGCTTGTATTTAAGTGTGGCTGGGTGTGCATTGGGTTGGGGAGGGAAGGCAGAAGCTGGGTAGGAGGAGAAGATTGTCCCAGTCCCAGCCTTTGGACTCAGGATGCCATCCAGTCCCTCATTTCCTGGGGCAGAGGGTGACTGGTGCAGTTCCCGTGCTTGGAAAATGACTGGCTCTGCGTCCAGGCCTTGAGTCACTGGCTCGTGCCATCATGGGCTGGTGTTTTCCACTGGCAGAGCACGAGCTCTGACCTGCTGCTTATTTATAACTCAGTGTTGTTGTGGGGACAGCGAGGAGCCGGGACGGGGTCTCTGCCTCTCCTGCCACAAGGCTTCATTCCAGCAAACCCCTCCCAACGGATCGGGCTGTTTGGCAGCAGTTGGGTCAAGGAGCAGCTCTGCTCTCGCTCCAGTGACTCTCCTCCTTGGTAGGTTGAACCACTCCAGTTTGCTGCTGGTTTCTCTTGCTTTCACTTGAGCTGTCGGCTCTGCCTGCGCAGCCTCCGGGGTGGTGACTGCTGGGAAGAGATGTGGTGCTTTTCCTGCTGTAGCTGTGCTTGTCTGTGTGTTGGCACATCCATCCCGTCCCTTTTCCTTCCCAGATCAGCAGGAGCAGCCGGGGCTTTCCAGGGTGTGCTGGAAGTGCTCCCAAGCACTCCATTTCTGGTGCCAGCGCTGCTGGTGCCATTCCCCATGTCCCAGTAGCCTCGGGTTGGGTGAAATCTGCCTAGGAGCTGGTTCCTTGCACTTGATATTCAGGAAAATGCTGTCCCAGGTGAGCGATGCTGTGTGGATTTGAGGTGCTGGGGCAAACTGGTTGGACTGGTCGTGATGGGAGTGGAGAATCCCATGGTGGAGTCAGTGGGTGTTAGGAAAACCATGGAATGGTTTGTGTTGGAAGGGACCTACAAGCTCGTCCTGTCACTTGGGTGTCCCCTGAAGCCCCCAGTAGCTCCTTGAGCCCCTGAGCAGGGGTCTCGCTCCTGTAACTGCTGCGCCGCCCACTCCTGTGTCGCAACCCAAAGAGAGGAAATCTCATGACAAGTCCTGGTGAAAAGAGTTTCCTTTCATAGGAACTTGTCTGTGAACTCTGGGAACGTGGAAGATCCATCCAGGGTTTGTCTCCAAAGAGCTCATGACCTGCTGCTCCCAGCAGGACCGGCTGGTGCGGTGCATGCGTGGGATGCTCCGGATTCAGGCTGTTCTGGGTTTAGGCTGCTCCAGATTTGGGCTGCTCTGGATTTGGAGCACTGCTCCTGCCTTCTGGACCAGCTGTGGCCATATGGGAGCTGCTCTGCAGTTGTGTTTGTGCCCTGGTTTGACAGCTCGTGGTGCAGAGAGAGGGGCAGGTTGAGGCGTCAGCTCTGCTTGGGGAAAGCTTCAGGCCTGATGTGTTGGCTTGGAAATAAAAGTGTCACTTTCAAGTCACACTTGGAAGTGTTGATACCACGCCAAGGCCATTGTTGGCTCTGGGCATACCCAAACCCTGCAGCGAACTGCTGGGCAATCTCCTTCTCCATTTGGATGGCAAGGGATTCCAACTCAAGGGAATGAATTCCTTCTCCAACCTCTCACACCCTCAGAAGGCTGCAGGGTGTTGGATCAGCTTTTGGATTCTTTTCAGCACCAGAGCATGCTGTGTTTGAGCAGGGATACAAACGTGCACCCAGCATCTCACTGACACCCCTGTGCTTTGCTCACAGAGCCTCCAGGCACAGCTTGGTTTCAGCAGAAAGCTCTGAAGAACAGGGCAGGACTCCAAAAGGCAGAAGTCAAAGGTCCCTTGTCTGCAGTAACCCTGAAGCGTGGCTCTGGTTCTCCCATGGTTTCCTAGGAAGACACTGGTTTTGTTCTCTTCCCCAACAAACCCAGCTGCAGCAGAGCAGCCCTTGGGAATGGGGTGATCTTGGGGTTCATCTGCCTCTGAACAGAGTGACTGGAAACCTGATGGGCAGCCTGCATCCTTCCTTCCTTCCCATCTTCCCAGACAGCTCTGTACCGTGGGATGAGCACCTGGGCACCTCCAAGAGGATCATAGAATCCCAGACTGGTTTGGGTTGGAAGGGACCTTAAAGCTCCTCCAGCTCCAACCCCTGCCACAGGCAGGGAGACCT